ATAATTGGGATGGGAGTGTCAGAGACGGTGCGATTGGCACAGGACAGAGCGGAGTTTAGGGCTGTTGTACATAGGGTCGCTATGAGTCGTAGGCGACTCGACGGCACATAACAACAACAACAACATCCTTTTTTGGGAATATTGATTTATTTACACAGTTCAAATGCATTCTTTGTCACACAAGATCCTTCCCATTTTCTTCAACACCTCCACTCATTGAATTGTGCAATCCTATGATTGCAAACCCCCACCCTGCCCATGCTCACCTCTCTGCTTCTACCCTCACCTCCTTTGGATCCTCATATGCTCATTCTACAATAATGGTTTTGTACAGTATTTGTCCTTATGGGACTGAGTCAGTTCACTGTGCTGTCTATCCTCTTATTTTATGTATCCATTCCCATCACCTAACTATGTGTTAACTATCTCTCACTTCTTGCCTTGTGTAAAATGATTTCTTTCAACTTATTCTTCTTTGAACGAATTATATATTTCCATCACAGTAATATCTTTAATGTATAGAAATAAATGTATCTCTCATGGCAGAACATTTGCCAAATTATTTTTCCACTCTAGCTCAACACCCAAGCCCATTCACAGGTGGATAATATTCCATTTCTAAGTGGTGGTACCATTTAAAAATTCCACGAACAATTTATGAGAGTTTCTATCACTTTGCATCTTCTTTGACATTTATTACCTGCTGCCATGGTAAACTTACCACTGCTACTGGGGTGAGATGGTATCTCATTGTGGTTTTGATTTGCATCTCAGTGATTTTTAGCATTTCTTCATGTGTCTGTTGGCCGTCCAAGTATCTTCCTCTTTGAAAAGTCTTTCCATGTCTTTCCCTATTTGTAATTTTGTTCTCAATCTTGTGAAGGCCCTGTAGGATTCTGTACACTTTTGTTATGAGACCCTTGTCTGAGATAGTATAGCCAAATGCTTTTTCACAGTCAGGATTTCTTTTTACCCTGTTGGGAAAAGTTTTTGATGTACACAGGGGTTCAATTTTTAGATGGGCAACCACTCTGGAAGGCAATTTGGCATTTCCTCAAAGAGTTGAGTATAGAAATTCCATATGAGCCAGCTATTCCATTGTTTGGAATATACCCCAGGGAAATTAGAACTGAGACACAAATGTTATACACCAATGTTCATAGCAGTGTTATTCACCATCATAAGCATATGGAAACAGCTCAAATGTTGTGGTACAATCCTACAATGGAATATGATGCAGCACTTAGGAGCAATGATTTTGAAAATTACTACATAATTTGGGAAAGGCAGGAGAGCATTATACTGAGTAAACTAATTCAATCTCATGAGGACAAATACTGTGTAAGATTCTTATTGTACAAATAGAAAGATAACTAGCAAAACATGTATGAGAATACAAGTGGAGGTGGGTAGGATCAGCACAGTGAGGATGGTTAGGGAGAAAAATCAAATAGTGGCTGTAGGGAAGGATGGCTAAATGAAATGAGAATGATCTGGAAGGAATCTAGAACGACAGGGCAATGGTGGGCATAGTTCAATAATTATTAATTTTATCAGTTATAAGAATGGGAATGATTGTATTAAACACAACATGAATAGAGGATAGTATGAAACACATGTATACAAATTTTATAAGAAAACCGAGATAAAATTAAAATATTTTTTCCTTTAAAAATATATTCCAGTCTTTTTTGTCACAATGTTCAGACACATAACCTTCTAAATGCTATCTATATATCAGAAGTTTTCAATCCAAGTATGCTGTGGAGATACTTATTATGGCACAAAATACTTGAGAAGGTGTTTCCTTGACATGATAAACTCCAATTGTCTCATATTAAGGTTGTCCCCTATTTTTTCCCTATTTTTTTAGGACTGACTGGAATACTCAGACTATGGGATGGAAATGAGAAGCAAGAACAAATATGTCTTGGAAAAAGTGCAGCCAGAGGGTTTCTTATAAATTGTAGCTGATGTTAGATGGATCTTAGCTGAAAGCAGGGAATACCAGAGGAATGTCTATCTGTGTTTCATTGACTATGAAAAAGCATTTGACTGTATAGATCATAACAAA